ATCCAATAAAATGTTTCCCGTCAACATAATGCTTTTAGCAACCTAGATCCATTATTTCATGCCAGTGGCTGTGGCATCAACTCTGACTCATGGCGACCCCATGTGTGTCAGATTAGAATTATGCTCCCCAGGTTTTTCAACAGCTGATTTTTTGGAAGTAGATCGCCAGGCCTTTCTTTCAAAGCACCTCTTGGTGGGCTCAAACTTCCAACCTTTCGGTTAGCAGCTGATAGCCTTAACTGTTTGCACCATCCAGGGACTCCTATTATTGCAGTGGCAAAATTGTGACTTCCTATCATTTTTCTGGTATTTAGCTGTGATTCTTACGTGAAAAAATTCCCTTATCAGGTTACCCGGATACACAGAGAAGTCAGGATAAATGTTTATTTTTCCTTTTAGCAATTTTCAAGTTAATGGGTTGGTGTCCTAGTAACCTTCAAAGGTGACCATTGTTTTTTCATCATATGACCTCATGAAATTTTAAACATTTCACATTTCAATCCATTATTCTTTCTGATGCTCTAATTGTCCCATCTGTGGCCAATGAGAGTCCCTTCATGACTTGGCTTTGATTGCTTCTATGCTTTCTGACACAAGGTGCTCTTCTTGTCCCTTCCCTGTCCTGGAATCAGCCATTTCACCAAGGAGACCTGGATTCTTTTAGTGAGACAGTCTGGATCGTGGCGGGGAGGAGGCGTTACTGCTGGGTTGATTGCTTCTACCCCTCTTCAGTGGACAAAATTAGGTAATATGTATTTTTCAGAAAGAGGAAAAATAAATCAGAGGACTTGTATTTCCAGTTCAAATGTAAACTTACAAGGTTTTCACTTGATTTTAGCCTTGTATCTCTTTTCTCTTATGTTGAAAATCTTGGCTCTTAATTCCATTGGCATAAGTATTTTCTTTATCATACATACACGTTTCAAACTGACACTGCCAATACCATTTATGGCTAAAAAAAATAAAACAATTGAATGCAGTTTAAGATTTCATCATGATTCTTTGGTCTGTAGGACGTTATTCCATTAGGAAAGTGCAGACAAAATGCTGGGCTTTAAAATTACTTGAAGTAATTCTTCTACGTGTGGTTATATCACCAACTTGATAGCTAAGTTTGTTTTAAGATGTGCTTTTAAAAAAAATTATAGAAAACACTGACAGGGTCCCAAAGTAAAAAGTACAAAGCAAGAATACATATCCAGCTGCTGTCCCTGCGCAGCTCCTCCCTTTCCTTCCCACCACTGGCAGGGAACTGTTACAAGTTATTGGTATACTTTAAAAAAAAAAAAAACTAACAAATATATATATTTTTCATTTGTCTCCTTTTTTACACATTCATTAGTACACCATACATACTGTTCCACACTTTACATTTTTCACTTTCTATATCCTGGAGATCACTCCAGAACAGTGTACAGAAATAGTCTCCATTCCTTTTTCCAGCTGTGCAAGATTCCACTGTATGGACGTAGCATAGTTTCTTCCATCAATCCCCTATCAATGGATATTTGGGTGGTCTCTAGTTCTTAGCTGTTATAGTGCTGTAATGAAGATCTTTGTACATACACCCTTCATATTTTCCCCAGTGCATCACAGATAAATTATTAGAAGTGGGACTGTGAGACTACAGATACTCCTCAGATACAACTAAACATTTTCTGTGATTGGTTTTCTAGAGTTGAAAGCTTAGAACTATAGTCTCATGGGACAATTCAGTCAATTGGCATAATATAGTTTACAAAGTTCATCTCCTGCATCCTAGTAAAGTGAGTAGCGTCTGGGATCTTAAAAGCTTGGGATCAGCCATCTAAGATACAACTATTGGTCTCTACTCATCAGGAGCAAAATATTAAGAAGGTAACAAAAATCTTAGAGAAGAAACAAGTCTACGTAACTGATAGCCTACATGAGCCACGGCCTCATCTATCCTGAGACCAGAAGAACTAGATGGTGCCCAGCTACACTGACCGTTCTGACCAGGGTCACAATAGATAGTCCCAGATAGAATGGGAGAAAAATGCAGAACAAAGCTCGTAATCTTAAAAAGTCCAGACTAAGTGGGACAGTTGAGACCAGAGGACTCCCTGAGACTATTGCCCTGAGAAACTCTTTAAACCTTGAACCAAAACTATCCCTCGAGATCACCCTTTAGCAAAACAGCAGAGTGACACACAAAATAAAGGATGTTACCCATAAGATCAGTGCTACACTAAAAAGCATCTGCACTAGACCGAAAGGTCAACATTTACCCTAAGGCAAAGATGAGAAGATAAGGGGGCAGGGAAACTGGAGTACTGGAAATGGAACAACCAGAACACAATTAAAGAGAACGTTGACACATTGTAAAAAATGTAACTAATGTCACTGAACAATTTGCCTGGAAATTGTCGAATGGGAACCTAGCTTGCTGTGTAAACTTTCACCAAAAACACCAGAGAATATTAGAAAAAAAAAAGAGGACTGTGAGGTTGAAGAATAAATGGGTATTTAATTTTGCTAGCTAATAATACCTTCCATCCATCAGCGTTTGTACTTCTCAGAGTGCCTGTTTCTCCCCTAACAAACAGACTGCATTGTCAAATGTGGATTTTTTGCAATCTCACAGATAAGAAATGGTATCTGAGTAGCTTTATTTTGCAGTTCTCTTATTAAGCACACCCCTCATATGTCTGTCATTTGCACTTTATTTTCTGTGAGCTGTCCTTATCTTTTTGCCCATTTTTCTTTCAGGTTCTTTCCTAATTTTAGAAATTCTTTATATATTTGGGCTATATTAGGCCTTTGTGATAAAAGTTTCAAATAGTTTTGCCAGTTTGTTATTAATAATTTTGCTTTTTCTTCCTTGTCTTTTGAAACTCTTTTCACTTAGTCAAAGAGACGAACTTTTCCTTTTATAGCTTCTCGATTTTCAGTCAGAGGAAATCTCCCTCTCCCAGATTCTGAAGGAATTCTCCTGTTTTCTTCTAGTACTTAGAGGCTTTCATCTTTGCAACTAGGTCTCTGATCCATTTGGATTTCATCGTTGTGTACAGTGTGAGAAGTGGATTCAATTTTATTTTCCACATAGTTAACTGCACTTGTCCCAACATCATTTTTTAAAGGTCTTTTTTTCCTCCACCAATGAGATGCTGGAGCCCTGGTGGTGCAGTGGTTAAGTGTTTGGCTGCTAACCAAAAGGTCAGCAGTTCAAATCCACCAGGCGCTCCTTGGAAACCCTATGGGGCAGTTCCACTCTGTCCTAGAGGGTCGCTATGAGTCAGAATTGACTCGACAGCAGTGGGTTCGGGTTTGGTAATGAGATGCTAATTATACTAAATTCTTGGATTTTCTGTATTCTGTTGATGTTGTTGTTGTTAGTTGCCACTGAGTCGCTCCAACTCATGGCAACCTTACGTATACAACAAAACATTGCCTGGTCCTGTGCCATCACAATCGGTGTGTCTGAGCCCACTGTTGCAGCCACCGTGTCACTTCTGTTGATAATATGTTGTAATATCTCGTAGGGTTAGCCCTCCTTCGCCACTGTTCTGTTTTAGAGCTCTTCTGGCTATTCCTGTTTATTCTTCCCAATGACCTTGATACAGGAAAAAACTGCTTGTTTTATTGGGAATAGGTATGACCTTTTAAATGTAAAAAATATGTATCAATGGAGACATTTCAAAAGCGTTTTCTAAATAATACTCTGAAACCAACTCCAGGCAAACGTCTGCTGAAAATTAGCTCTGGAAGAACAAGGAAGAAATCAGACATCATACTAAGTGAGTGATCCTTAGGGAATGCATGGACAAAGGTTAAGGGCAAGTCTGGAAGTCAAAATACTCCCAAAGCAGCCTTCCCACAGAATCCCAGTGGAGGTTTACTGAACACTCACTGGCCCCATGGTGCTATAACAACAATTATAAACAGACTGGCTCATACTAAGGACTCAAGAAAATATACAGCTATCTTGTTACTACTGTCACAGTAAAGTTTATTTTGTATAATAAAGTACATTGTGCATCATTTAGCAAAGATGAAATACTGTAATAGAAAACATTTAGCACCCACTGTATTTTCAGAAATTGGAAGATTGTGACCTTCTCTGAGGGTTCAATCTTCACAAAATTACAGACACTGTAGCCCAAAGTAAAATTTGACTTTTAAAGAGAGTTATGACAACATTTTTTCAAATAAAACAAATTCAGTTGGTAGGAAAATAAGTTCCACTGGACTTTTGGGTACATTTCTTTCCTGATCACTTGACACGTCTGTGGCCAGAAACCCCGTTATCAAGTGAAGCCAGTAACTTCCCTCCAAGAGCTGGGACTATGTTTCCTGTGCAGAAATCTTCCCGCACAAATTAAAACTGTCATTCGCCAACCAAGGGTAACTAGAGACTGTGTCAAACAAAAATACAAACGTATCACCCAAATTATTTCTACTGCTGATAGGTTTGAATCTGGTCAGCCAAGATACTAACTATAAAATGAAGGCTATTTTTGTTCGTAAGGTAGAGATATCTGATAACACTTCTTGGCTCTCAGGTTATCTTCTTGTACTAACCTAGTTAACCTGACAAGCGAGACAAACTGTTCATTGGGAAGCTGTTCATTCTGCTTTTTAAAATCTACCTATTCTTTTGTAGGGGAGATAATGTCAAAAATAAGTCTTTCTGGCAGTTAATCAACAGTGGTACGACCTTACATTTCCTTAGAACTACAAATTTCCTAATTGACCAAACAGCCAAAACCATTAAAGAATGATTTGTTCTAGGTTCACTGTTTTTATTTACATAATCGCCTTTCTCCTACACAAGCAATGTCAGGCAAAATGTAAGGCAGAGATGCCTTGCTGGTGACAGCCCCACTCAATTTTCTTTTGTGGAGGGGCTTCTCAGCAGCCAGTTGTCATGCAGAGCTTATTGTCAGTTTCAAGGAAGTCTTCCTCATTTTAAAACAGTAAGAAAGTACTATTCTTGATAGTTACTGCAAATAGTTTGATCAAGTGTGATACCTTATGGAATTTTGTAATAAAACTTCAAGTATAAAAATGATTTAATCAGCATGAAACTCTTTAAAAATAAAACTAGGTGTGACCTTTCATCTCTGCCACACTGAGATGTATTAGCGCCACCTATTTTTATTTTAGTGGTAAAAATGTAATCTAGTTTTAGCACCCATCTACAAGAGTGAGATGTTAATGAAAATAGGATATGACTTAGCTTACTAGAAAGTAACAGTCTTAACATCCCCTCAGTGAGGAAATCTGTTATTTGTTGCATCTTGGTTCATGGAAAAGAATACTACTAATGGGGAAAAAAGGACAGACTTTCAGTTAAAGCTTTTCAGTACTCGAACCAGTGCAGTATTAATGTCATGTTTCCATAAAGAGTAGAATCATATCACACATAGATTGTTCCAAGGAATTATGTTGCTACAGATTCTATGTCAGGGTAGATCACTTCTAAAATGTAACATAGAACGAGGAAAATCAGAAAAAGTAATGCTAGTGATTACTCCCCTCCTTTTTACCAAAAACCTGTCTTGTCACTACAGTTCAAAAATGAAGTGAAACGTTCTAAACAACTGACAAATTTTCACATTAAAACACACTGAATGTAGATTAACCATCAGTTATTAGACATGATAAACACACGCCAAGAAGACAAAGTACATCTTTACAGTATATAACATAATACACCCAGAAATCCCTTCTTTAAATTGGTAATATAGACTGCAATATAAAATGTACCCAATGTACCCAACATAGCAAAGTTAGACAGAAATGAAAATATTCCAGTTGAAAAATTACAATTTTTTTAATATATCAGAGGGACAAATAATTTTTTATTTAAAGCTATTAGATTTGGAGACTCCATCGAGTATTTTAAGTAAATTTCAACTTTGTGTAGGAGAAAGGAAAGCCATTTTTCTAGAAGGCACTAACTGGTTTAAATGTGCAAGTTACTTCATAAAGAAAACATGTGTAAAGTACAATCAAGAAGACTGCCTGGTTTTTCCTTTGTATTCCTTACTATTCATTGGAGACTATTCATTATTGCTGAGGAATTATATCAGTCACCAGGTTTCCCACCATGCCGTCTATGTGCTCAGTCTATGGTGTCACAGATCTCCTTTACTTTCTGGTTGAACTCTTCCGGTTGGTCTGCATACACATAATGCCCTGCTCCAAGGATGGCCTGGGTGAGGAAAGACAGTCAGCCAGTCTGTGAGTACAAGCATTCAGTAAAACACGAACACATAAGCAAAGACACTTAGCAACAAAAGTGAGAGCAGTGTATTTAAATAAAGCACAATATAAAGGAATAAGCAACACTGATCTGTAGAACTACTCTGTATTTCCATCAATTAAAAGATCTGAGAATAAACAGAAAAATCTACTGAATCTTAATAAAAACGTCAATATGCAAAAAAAACCAACACTTTTGTCTGAAGTGAACACTAATGACAGAACCCACACAGAACCTGAACAAAGTGAGAACGTGCTGCCTTGTCGGTGGGGAGGCTGGTTGCCTGTGTGGCTGGTCGAGGGCCTACGGAACCAGGCCCTCCTTCTCTCTCCCAGCCCTAAGATGTTGTGGCTCTAGGGACATAAAAAGCTCTTAAGAAAGGTGATTCGCTGTTTGGAAAGGTAGGTCAGACCCCACTCCCATCACATGACATATCAAGTCTCTGACTGAGGCTGTAGGTATAGCTCAGAAATCACAGAGACAACCTGCAACCCCATTAAGGCCAAGAAATCAAGACAGACTTCATCTACAACTGAACACCAAAACCAAGCCAGACACTTACTACTGTCTTCACGTACGAATGTGGTCGTAATGACTGGATGCTGGTGCCAGAGTTGCCATCTATGCAGGATCGGGCGCCATAGATCACTGAAACTGGAATGTCGGCATCCATTTTACCAATTCGCTGGAGCATTGGCCTTTTCGCCCATCCATAAGGAATAGTCATATTTTTGAAAGCTGACTCACCACTTAAACAGAAAGGAGGAAGTGACACGTGATTTTTGGGAAGGTATATATCAGTACTCCCATCTCTATCAAAACACACTCACACTTAGCTTCTCTCTCATTTAAGAACCACCTCAGCTTAAACAGAAAATAATTTACTACAAAGTTAAAGGAACAAACCCCACAGAAGATATAACAATGTTAGATAAACAAGGCTACTCTGAACTATAGTGATTTTAAGAAGTTTTCTTCTTCTAAACCAAAACATGGAACCCTCTCTATCGTGGAGTCTCTGGGTGGCACAAACTGTTAAGCACTTGACTACTAGCTGAAAGGTTGGTGGTTTGAACCCACCCAGAGGCACCTCAGAAGACAGGCCTGGTGATCTGTTTCTGAAAGGTCACTACGGAGCAGTTCTACTTGGCACATGGGTCACGAGTTGGAATCAACTTGATCGACCACTAACAACAACAATTCTCTATCATTAAAGTATTAAATTACTTCTGTGGAGATAGTTAAAATATGTTTTTTCACTCTGAGTTAGGTATTTCAAACTGATACAGAAGGTAACTTTTCCAATGGATCATGGTACCAGCCTTTTTACCTGGAATGGCAAAGCCATTACCGAGTTAGAAGAAACTCACATTAAGTACTTTTGCAAATTGCCAGGATAGGTCCTTTTTGCTGTCATTTCTGCTAGTCTTGCAGTAGTAGGCAGAATTATAAGTTGCCTTATATGAAGAATTCAAGTTCCACCACAAGAAAAGCAACAAACTGTGACCATGAAATATGTGCAGGTGAAAAGTAAAACACCAAGATGATGCAGGAAAAGAATGATGTTCCTGGGAGAGACCACTGAAAACTGTTGGAACAAGTCAATAAAAATGTACAGACCAGACCCAACAGCCTAGAGAGTCACAAAATAGCAATCGCTTGTGGACCCCGGCCCTACAGCTTCTCTCACTCTTGGCAGAGAACCTCTAACCTATTTTATTAAAAAGCTACGGCTACACCTCAACAGCTTCCACAGACTCCATCTTTTAATCAAGTAGGTTACATATTCTCTGCGAAAAGTGAGCAAGGGGTAAAAAAAAAACTGAAGGAGGCTGTCTCTGCTTCTAGCTTCTCTGTCTTTCACCCAAGTCTCAATCCTGGAAAGGATGAGGTACCACTTCTAGTTTTTAAGGGGTGGTCCAGGGTCCATCTGTACTGCAATCATCTGGTTAAAGATGCAGCCCAGAACTGCTGAGTCAGAATCTCAGAATAAGGGCTCGGGAATTGCATTTCTGACAAGCTCCCTGGTATCTCAGTGCACAACAAAGCATGAGAACTGCAGCTCTCATCTTCACACTCTGTTCCTGATGTTCTCCTTAGCAACTCTAGGACCTTGCTCTTCCAGCCTCCTCTTACCTCCCCACTATCTTCCGGATCTGTATTCTTTACTGGTACCTTCTACCCAACATCCTCAAGTCATACGTATGTATATGTATGTGTGTGCATATATACATACACACACACACATATATATGCACACACACATACATATATATATATTTTAAATAAGGAACATCTTTGTCTGGCCCTCTTGCTCCCTCTGGCTACTCTCTTCTTTCTCTCTTTCTAATCATTGTCGAAATACATGCAGAATCCCTTCTATCCCTCTCCCTCCACCAACCCTGTTCACTCACTTATCTTCTACATCCATCTTCTACAGATGTTAAGAGTTGCTCAGTGGAAGAGCAACTTCGAATTGCAGAATGAACTTGGAAAAATGCTGTACACCATCTCCCATGCACTTGAGAGATTTAATGCACTTTGGCAAAATAAAGGTTCTAAGATGATGCACAGTAGAGAAAACCATTTACTTCTGTTTAATCCAGCACTTCTTTCTGTCGAACATTCATACCCAGTTTGGGAAATGTTGCTTTAGTGTGAAATTATTCTTTATCCCTCAACTCAGATCATCTCCTAGAGATAATCAAGACCACTGCTTCCTCAACTTATCCATAAGCACATCAGGGGAGAAAGTGTGTCTTAACTTTTTTAAGCCCCATCAGAACCCAGCACAATGTTTTATATAGTAGGCATCCCCTGAATGGACGAAGGTATTAAGATGAGGGTATAAGTACTAGACACTTGTCCTTTTATATTTAATCATTTAATGATAAAATCTTCTGGACTACTCACATATGTGTCAAAAAGTCTAAAAAGCAAACACGTACATTTAGAATCATAAACGTTACCTCGGAGTTTGTACATTACAGTGGTAGATGTATTCTGTCACAGTATCATCTTGAAACATTGAAGAATACTTCCGCTTGAAATCAGGTCTTAAACTTTGCACTAAACTTAAACCTATTAAATATGAAATAAAAACATTAATGTTTCAAGTTATAATTAACTTGTAGACTATATAATATAGAAAGTTTTAGTGCTTGCTTGTCTTATGAGTGTTATGTGCATGCATATATACATGTATTCAAATGCATTTTAGATGGAAAAAAGCATAGATCCTAAAAGCTCTCTCCTCAAATCCCCTAAAGGAAAGAGTAAAGTAAGAATTAAAGAGGGTTGTATACTAACTTACAGATGTGCTTTAAGAGCTCAAAACCACAGAAGTTAGTTTTCTACAACTTGTTTCTAGGGAAAAATAAATTCTGTGAAACACAGCAGGTGAGTAGAGTAGCTCACAAATAAACTCAACATGTTAATTTGTACTTCCTCCATAACTGCAACCCATCAGCATCTAAACAAAGTGAGCTGGGGTATATAAATGTTGCTGTGGGAAAATAAATTCAGAGGTTCTGCTTGGGACACCAGCAACACTCCCTGCTAAGGCCGTCCCCGGTGACTCCAAGGCCCACCCCTGAGCTGAGAGGCAGGGGCAAGGGCCCTAAAGGGAAAGAGGCTGAGGAGCCACAGCCACCTTCTGGTCACTCTTTTCTCTTCTGGGGCCCCAGGGATTTGTCAGTTTTCCTTTCTGCTACTGCCATTCACCCACTGCTCTAGCAAGGTTTTCTTTCTTTCCTGGTCTTACCTTTCCATCTCTGAAGGAAGTACACAGCTGCAACAAGAATTTTTATGATACAGCTGATATCCTACATCACCTCTACACACACACACACACACACACACACACAAGTGCAAGCAATGGTGGGAGACAGAGGATGTGTCTTTAAAAGTCCTCCCTAGGCATCCTCCCTCCTCCATCATTGTCCCCCTAATTTCTTTTCATACTTCATATTTCCCATAGTTGCTCTCTGTCATCCAATAAAATCCATTTCTATTTCAGGACCATATGGACTAAATGAATCTCTTCAACAGTTCATCAAGGGAATAGGATCAAGCACCTAAGAAGGGGTGGCTCTACTAGGGAGAGGGAAGAAAGTTGGGGACAGGGAAAAGATACCATTTATAAGAGCACTGAGGGAGTGTGGTCACCAATTCAACCCTGAGCTTCTCCCATTTGCTAAAGTCCCCTTGCAGGGATAGCATTAAGGCAAGGAAGGCAAAGAGGGGCTAGGGCTGGGCAGAAGGGAGCAGAATCTATAGTTGTCTATGCAGCAGTTATTCCCACACTCCCACCCCCTTGCCCTATGCCTCTCTTCTTTTCTTGCTAACAGAACCCTACTTTTGTACAATATTAGTTAGGCAGCAACATGCCCAGGAAAGCAGGCCCCTTCCTCAGCCCCTGGGAATAAATCAGGATTGGTCAGTTAGATAAATTTATTCTTCTTTGCTGATGGAAGGACTAAGGGTGGGCAGAAATAAGGGGATGGATGTCTGCTGGATCCTTCCAGGGAAGGTTTTCTTCACTGACAAAGGGAAGCATTATGGAGAGAAAGACTGCTTTCCTTTCTTCTTGCTTAAGGTGCTGTTTTGTGAGATGATGCTTCATGCCACACTCATCTTACAACCATGAGGAAAAAGAACAAGAGAGTCACAGACACACACCCAAGCTGTGACATTGATGAGCCAGCTATTAGAACAAACCCTGAAACCACCTACCTCCAGACTGCTTGTTAAGCAAACAGTAAAGACTTCATGGTTTAAGCCACTTAGGTATTCAGTTACTTGAAGCTGAAGGCAAGTAACTGATACAAATTATAAGGGGGAAAGGTAGAGGTCCAGACCATCAGCATCTGTGACAACCAGGTACGAAAATCCCCATAGTTATAAGGCTGAGGCACAAGGGCTGAGAGACAGATGAATTTAAATCAGAGACTAAACACGAGTACCTCAAAACATAAATGGAAATATAAATTGGGAGTCCCTAAAATTTTTGTGGAAAAGCGTGATTTTATCTTCTTAATATTTTGAGATTAAGGGGCAAAGAAGGGATTGATGAGTATGGTAATACCTGTTATTCCCACAGTCAATCAAGTCAAGCTTTGTGATCCATCAGCTGTATACAACCAATTGCCCAACTGCTCTTTAATGCGCACCAACAGGTCAACAAGTTCCACTTCTTTTCCCCATGCACTGAGCGGAGTAGACACTTCCTGAGGGATAATCTGCTTGCTTGGCTTTTTCAGAATCTTCAAAAATAACTAATCCCATCCTCAGCATGCCCTTCCTTCTCTGCTTTCTAATTACTTGTGATATTTGCAATATAAAGACTCTTTGAGGAGAAAAGCCTGTTTTGTTCATTTTTGTGCATGGCCGTACTTATTATTGGAAAAGGAATAAAAAGGGTTCAGTTTTTTGTGTTTGTTGGTTGGTTTTTAAGACTTTGATGAACAAAGATGGTATCGGTAAACAGTCCTCTACTGATAATCTATAAACATTTTGCTTCTCTAAAACATAAAGCACTCACCAAAGGGTCCTGCAATTCTGAGGCCAGCTAAAGGGTTAAAGGGAGTCAATACAGCTCCCAAGGCTCTGATCCAAACAGGAATTGGTCTGTCTTGATCAGCAAGGTCAGGTCTTTCAGGAAAACCCCAAGGCTCCACTAAAATGAGATGACTAACCCTGTTGAGGAAAGAACAAATTTAAGCCCATTTGGTAAATTCGCCTTACGACTATAAGGAACCGACAACATTTATAAAGTAAAGTTGAATGAAACAGCTTTAAAAACTCTCACATTAAAGAGAAGACTAATGGCTGGACAGATTACATCATGTTCTTACACACAGCCTGTTAATAGAGAACAAGAGCTAAACCCGTATTTTCTAGCTCAAGTATTCTAACAGACATCAACAAGCCATTGGGCAGAGGACTCTCCTAAGAATAGGCTAAGCAACGTAAGATAAACATATTAATAAAAGTAGAGCTTAATTTTTATCAACCCTAGGCTAGTCCTACCATGATATCCTAGAGTTCATAGCATTGAGAAGATTTGTTTAAAGGCTTTCTCAAATCTCATATTCAAAACTAAACCAAAGTACAGAATATAACTATGAATCTGTGTGGAGATAAGTGATACGTGAGAGTTTCATACAGTTAACGTGACTTTATTGCCTAAAAGCTTTATACAAGATTATTTGATAATAAGATATGGAAAGAGGGGAGGAAATACACACGCACACACACACACACACACACACACGTAGTCCCCGACTTACAATGTATTCGAGTTATGACGAACCACACTTATGACCATCTGTTTCATTGTGCATCTTACTGTTAGTAATATGTACTACAAACAGTGTTGCAGCATGTAATTTGCTGATGGCATCATCTTCAGATGTTCACTCAGATGTTCAAAGATCAGATTTATAAAGATACTGATAATAAAAGTCAGTAATAATGAAAACTAAAAAATAAAAGAGGTATTCATTTGACTTACGTCAGAACCAACTTAGGATGGAGTTGTTGGAACCTTGTTGTAAGTTGGGAACTATCAGTTGTTGTTGTTAGGTGCCGATGATTCGATTCCAACTCATAGAGACCCCATGCACAACACAACGAAACACAGCCTGGTCCTGTGCCATCCTCACAATTGTTGTTATGCTTGAGCCCACTGTTGCAGCTACTGTGTCAATCCATCTCGTTGAGGGTCTTCCTCTTTTTCGCTGACCCTCTATTTTACCAACTACCTGTGTATATATTTAAATGGCAGAGACAATCTCTTATATTTTGATTCCCTTCTAAATTCCCTTTACTGCAGCCACTGTGAGATTTAGGACAGGGGGAAGATGTGCACCAGGGGTGTGAGCAGAATTAATAAGACAGCCACCTAGTAGAAAGCAGCAGATTCATGTTAGGGAACGGCCAGTACTACTCACTGTTGACCTACCTCCTAAAGAGAAAAATGAACTCTTTTTTAAAATATATCCTACACTAAAAGATTGTTAAATTTTTGTTAGAAATTTGTAAAGGAATCTTGCCCACTCTGCTCCAGGATCTTACTGACCTGCTAACCCAAGAAGGGGATGGATGAAGGAAAACTGGAGGCAGGGAAAGTCTAACTTAACCCTAGTTAAGTAATTATTTTGTTTTTGCCTCCATTTGCCCTGCCTTATTTAATATGGATCTTCAAAATATCGTTGCTAGGTAAAAACGCCAGTTTAAACAGTTATGCAAAATGTATACACTAGGGCAAATGCTCCCCTTTTTTCTGAAAGGGGGAAAATGTACCCATAATTATTCAATCCTGTGTCTTCAGCACACAGCATGGAGGTTAGCACATGGCAAATGCTCCATAAACATTTGGAGTATTATCCTTTCCCATGTTTCCATTCAGTCCTTATCTATGTTGTTGTTGGTAGGTGCCATGGAGTCGGTTCTGACTTATAGTAGCCCTAGGTAAAACAAAACAAAAACACCACCCAGCTCTGTGCCACCCTCACAATCACTGTTATGCTTGAGCCCGCACGTCTGTCAGTTTGTTGTACTGCAGTGGCTTAAGTGTTGCTGTGATACTGGAAGCTTTGCCACTGGTATTTCAAGTACAAGCAGGGTCTCCCTCGGTGGACAGGTTTCAGTGGAGCTTCCAAACTAAGGCAGACTAGGCAGAAGCACTTGGTGGTCTACTTCTGAAAAAACTGGCCAGTGAAAACCTTATGAATAGCAGCAGAACATTATCTGTTACAGTGCCGGAAGATGAGCCCCTGAGGTTGGAAAGCACTCAAAATATGACTGGGGAAGAGCTGCCTCCTCAAAACAGAGTTGACCTTAATGACACGGATGGAGTCAAGCTTTCAGGACCTTCATTTGCTGATTTGGCACAACTCAAAATGAGAAGAAACAGCTGCAAGCATCCATTAATAACAGGAACGTGGAACGTAAGAAGTATGAAATCTAGAAACATTGGAAGTGACATTGGAAGTCATCAAAAATGAAATGGAATGCACAAAGATCGATCTCCTAGGCATTAGTGAGCTGAAATGGACTGGTGTTGGCCATTCTGAATCAGACAATCATGTGGTCTACTATGTTGGGAATGACAAATCTAAGAGGAACGGTGTTGCGTTAATCATCAAAAAGAACATTTCAAGATCTACCCTGAAATATAATGCTGTCAGTGATAGGATAATATCCACACGCCTACAAGGAAGGCCAGTTAATATGACTATTATTCCTTATCTATACAGATATGCTAATTTTATAAAGTATAATCAAAGAGTAAGCATAGGAGTTAGTCCAGTCTGGGTATTTCTGGTCCCCTAGATGACATCAGAATATATTGCTATTTCTTATATTAATCCTGCAGGTGGGTAGTGGGTAGTAAAATCCATTTAGGGAATCAGTACCAGTTTGTTTTAATAAAATAGTATGGTTTCGAATAGAAAAGTATGTCATATAACAAACCTTAGTATCATTCCACAAAACTTTTGTTTCAGATACCCACATGCTTATATATACAATTCTTACTGAGAGTTATACTAAAAACATTTTTGAAAGTAATTTTTAAAGCTCTAGAACAAACTGAACTTTAGTTATATATCATCTGCTTCCACTACATGTAAAAGACCTCAGAAAATTATTGCTTGTTTTTGGTTTCACGGATTTTAAATGAGATACACCATGCAAGGTGCTTAGGTTGGTGGTTACCACGTAAGTATCCAATAAATGTTAGCTAGCTATCGTAGCAAAAATAGGAAGACTACTAGGGCAGAATTTATTCCACAGAGCATGGGAAGAGAGTGACTGGAACCATGTGACCAGCAAGTAATTTAACTTTTATCCTTCAAGAAGCCTGATTACAAATTATGTCACACAGATTATTTTAACTTTGAACTAGACCAAGCTCCCAGACGAACTTCTCATCTCCTAAGTGAAATCTCTTCACTTGACAGAAGTTATGTGGTTTTAATGTATATCTAAGGTATTATAATAATCCAGGCCCTACCTTCTAATATTCCATAGAGGATCGCCTTAGGGGATTGTTAGTTCACATCTAGGGTAAAGGACAGGTTTAAGTCTAGCCAGACAGCATATGTGAGTCATCGATAAGACATCTTTGTCAAGTGTCAGAAACTCATCCAAACAGGAAAAACAAAGAACCAGCAGAGCAGGAACAAGAGAAGAGCCCATCAGTTTCAATACAGCAAGAGGCATTCTTCTCTTAGTCATCAGAGTAGGTCTTGTGGTTAAAGATGATGAGCAGATTAGAGTCTAAAGAGCAAAGCAGCAAACAACACCTGCTCCAACACATCAGGAGAGCTGAGTCTAAATGCTAAGTAGGGTATATAACCTGAACTTTATGAGATTTAAAGTCAGCCACCTGCCAGAAATTATGCAACAAGGAGAATAATCAGAACTAGAACTTAGAACTCCCTCCCATGAGGAAGTCCACAGGTCTTATCTATGGAACAAGGAAAGGAAAATAACATTCTTTCCTGACATCAGAGACCAGAAAGAAGCTAATCAGTGCACAAAGCAGCCATTCTCAAGACAAAGTTGGGAAGGAGGGGCTAAGATGGCAGAGTAGTCAGATGCTTCCTGTGGTCCCTCTTACAACAAAGACCTGAAAAAACAAGTGAATCGATTATATAGGACAATCTAGGGGCCCTGAACTTCAAAGGCAAAGTTGAGGAATCGGACTGAGTGACGGGGAAGGGAGAGATGGTCAGGAGCTGGCTGAACAGACACGGGAAATCCAGGGTGGAAAGGAGTGTGCTGTCACAGGGAGAGCAACTAGGGCCACATAACAATGTGTGTATAAATTTTTGTATGAGAGACTAACTTGAATTGTAAACTTTCACTTAAAGCACAATTAAAAAAAAAAAAAAAAAAAAAAGAAAAAAAAAGATAAGGTTGGCCCCACTGCGAGGAGAATGAGACAAGTCCAGAGAACAACAAATTAAATACCTCCAACTTCAGGCCAAGTAGAAAAGCCTTCCTCTGAAGAGGGGCCAACAAGAATTGCTCAGCCTAGGTCTGTAGAGTCAGCAGACAGACCAGGCAGGTCAAAAGGGAAAAGATAAGATGAAGTGAAAACCTTTCACTAGAGAAGTGAAGGCCAGTTGTAACTATTCTATTTTAACTTGGAATGGGTCTTTTTGTTAAACGCTTTCTAAGTTAAATGTTTCTATAGTCTCTTTCCTTCGTTTATAAAAAACACCTATAAAACACCGGTAGTCTTTTTGTGGAGTCCTGAGCACCAGGGCCCAGAAGAAAGGAAAGTTAAAAGGAAGAACTGGGCACACAGGTGAAAGAAAGGATATGGCATCTTTGGCTATTATCGCCAGCTTACTCTCCTCTCCCCGCCTCATCTCCGCCTACAGGTGATCAGACATTGCTCGATGAAGAAGGCTTTACAGAATGACAGCCTGAAAACACCTCACACAGCAAGCAGCCCTTTGGTTTGTGACCCAGCACATTAATCTATGAATGAAATTACAAATGCCATTTCTAATTATTACACATCATGGTAAGACAACAGAGATGAACTAAGGAAATTTTGGGAGGAAGAACACTGGGGCATTGTATCCACATGTGGAGTCATCTATTAACCACACATAACCTCTCCGCCCACCTGCTCCACTGGCCTTTCCAGAATGGCCCAGGCGTCCTCCTAGCACAGG